GATTCATGTATCTAACAAATCTCTAACACATAAAAAAAAAAAAAAGTCTTATCCGTCAGTTTGGTTCATCACCTCCAGTTCCCAGGAAAATTACGCATCGAGTGGGATCAGATCGATGAGCCCTGATAAGTCTATTTTTGTGCCATGTTTGGCATCACAAAATGTTGTGTTATTTAGAAATTCTAATGGTATTATCCGATGTTTTGTCACGTAAAATATACATATCTTGATATATTCCTCTAATTATGTTGAGAGAAATAATAATTCCCCAATGTTCAGTAAATAATAGTTTAAAGTTGGCAAAAAAAAAGGTAAATAATAGCTTAAAACATAAATATCCTCAGCAATTTTAAATAATAATACTGTATTTAAAATTTGGGAATTATTAAACATGATATTTAAAAGTTTAGTCAAAAAAATATTTAAAAAAAATTAAATATCCCGATCTCATGACAGTTACTGGGTGTTTTTTTTTTTTTTTTTGCCAACAATAATTCATTCCATAATAAATCAACAGTACAAAGTCATGTGAGAACACCATAAAGCAAGATAAATATCACCCTACATTAGTTTTGGCTTTGCATAAATCAGATTCTATAAGTTTACGCAAAAGAGGTGGCGGTCTCATTACCCAATCAGTCGGGCAAGACCCAGCCAAAGAGGCTCTAGCTACCCAGTCAGCAACAGAATTTGCCTCTCTCGGGATCCAACTACACGAGTGGCTCCTTAGACGGTTCCTTGAGAATTGTAGATTCTCAAGGATAACATAGTTCCTCCAACCTGGACTAGGGGCATTGTTGTTCAAGCAATTAATCAGATTTTGGTTATCTGATTCGAATATCACCTCATCAAGGTCATTCTCATATGCATAATTCATTGCCAACTGTAGTGCAGCACCTTCAGCCATCAAACTTGAATCAGCAGCAATTATTCTAGAAGCTCCATCTAACACCCATCCATTAGAGTCACGGACAACAAAAGCTATAGCAGCAATAGCTTCATCTGGTGTTAGTGCACAGTCCACATTAATTTTGAGAGCATTATCATGTGGCAAACTCCAGTTTGCTTTGTCTTCACTCTTCTTTTCATCCCCCTCATTAATAGCATCCGTAGCATTATTCCAGCCTTTAGCAGTCCAGTATTCCTGAATCAACTCCTCTGCTTGTTTAAAGGTAAAGACAGGATCAATGGCGACATTCTGATATAAGAACCTGTTTCTGCTCTTCCATATTGACCAGAGAGTAGAGGCCAGGACAGCCTTTTGCCAATGAGACAGTTGCAGATAGCAGAGGCAATGATTAAACCAGTCAGCAAAGTCCACTGGAGTATAAGCATCAAGATTAAAAGTAAAGAGGCTTCCAAACCAGGTTAATTTCACCCAATCACATTCAAAAAATAAGTGCTTCAACGACTCACTTTTCTCCTTACAAATAAGGCATAAATCCGACACACTGGCTTTCTTTTTGCATAAATTTTCAAAGGTTGGAATAGCATTTTGCATTACCCTCCAAAGAAAATTTTTAATTTTGCTGGGTACCTTCAACTTCCATAATTCTTTCCATAAATTCTTTAAAGGATTGTTAGAAGGACCCTGTACATTACGCATAAGATGGGAGCCATTCACTTTTGCGATCTTGTAACCTTCCTTTACCACATAATTGCACCTTTTCCCCGCGGTCCACAACCATTTATCATCTCTATTAGAAGAGCTTATAACAGTATTTAGGATGGCTCTTTTTTCAAAATCAGAAATGTAATTTTCAATGAGAGAAAGATTCCAACTAGTAGGAGACAATAATTCAGCCACTGTAAGGTTTCTCATATGTTCCAAAGGGCAAACAGAGAGAAGTTTCTTACCCGGAATATCAGCCAGCCAATGATCACCCCAGATACGGGTCCCACGTCCATTTCCTATACTCTTGCACACATTACCATTCAGCACCTTTCGGCCTTCAATAATGCTAGACCACAACCAGGATGCGCGTTTTCCTTTTTTCGCATTCATGAAATCTCCATCAGGAAAGTATTTAGCCTTCAAAATTTGAACCCACAATTGGTTAGGATTATTCAAAATTCGCCATCCCAATTTAGCCAGAAGCGCAAGATTAAAGGCTTCAAAGTCTTTGAAACCCAGGCCTCCATCTAGCTTATCCAATTTCATTTTATTTTTAGCAGTCCAGTGGACTTTTTGTTGATGCTCAAAAGAATTCCACCAAAAGGCATATATGATTTGGTCTAGCTTATTAAAGACCCTTTTTGGGAATAAAAAACAAGACATAGGATAAACAGGAATGGAATTTGCAACTGATTTAATGAGTACCTCTCTTCCTGCCTCCGATAGAAATTTTTTCTGCCAACCCATAATTCTCTTCTTCACTTTATCAGTGACAAAATTAAGCGCCTGGGTTTTTGATTTTCCCCAAACAATTGGCAGTCCCAAATAGTTTCCCGGAATGTCAACCAAAGGAATCTGAAAAATGTGACCAATCTCTTCCTTTAGCAAAGTAGGAGTATTAGCAGTGAAGTATAAACAAGATTTATTGACATTTATAAGTTGGCCAGAAGCACAGCAGTAAATATCAAAAATGTGTTTCAGTTCTCTGCACATGTCAACATCAGCTTGAATAAAGAAGACTGAGTCATCAGCAAACAGACTATGTGTCACCCTAGGACCTCGCCTGGAGACTCTTACTCCCTGAATAACACCAAGTCGTTCTTTTTGTTCAATAAGTTTAGAGAGTACATTTGAAACAATAATGAAGAGGTAGGGAGATAAGGGATCTCCCTGTCTTAAACCCCTTTGAGGGAGGACTTGAGAAATTCTTTTTCCAGCATGCATGATAGAGAAATTTACAGAGTTGATATACCACATGATTCTATCCACCCATGCTCTAGAGAACCAAGTTTCAATAAGAGGGCTTGTAGAAAATCCCACTCAATCCTATCATATGCTTTATTCATATCTAATTTCAGAGCCACTTCACAAGTGCCAGTCTTTTTTGATTTCATATGATGGAATGTTTCATGCACAATAATGATATTATCCTGAATAAATCTTCCCGGAACAAAAGCTCTTTGGTTTTGAGCAATGAGCTTGTCCATGAGAGGCTTTAGTCTATTTGAGATGACTTTTGAAAAAACCTTGTAAGAGAAGTTACATAAGCTTATGGGTCTGTAATCATTTACAGTTTCAGGGCATTCTACTTTTGGGATCAAGACTAAATCAGTGTTATTTAAATCATGGAGCATGAAACCAGAATTGAAAAACTTTCTGATGAGAGAGCAAACCTGGTTTCCCACAATATCCCAGCATCTTTGATAGAAGACTCCAGTGAATCCATCCGGTCCTGGGGCCTTAGAACCCCCCAGTTCGAAAACAGCCTTTTTAACCTCTGTTTCTGAGATCTCAGCCATTAAGATTTTGTTCTCTTCTTCTGTTATAACTGCTTCTAAGCAGCAAAGTGCTTCATCAAAATTCCTAGACCCAGAGTGAGAGAAAAGCTCATTGTAGAACTCAGCAAAATAGTTCCCAATTTCTTCCTCGTTTTCAATCCATTCACTAGACCCTGTTTTTAAGCAAGTTATCCTATTACGACATCGCCTCTGGATTGTAGACATGTGAAAGAACTTAGTATTATTGTCACCACATTTGAGCCAATCAATTCTTGACTTCTGCTCCCAGTAAATCTCCTCTTGATTCCATAAGTCTGCCACTTTTGATTTCAGCATAGCGATTTCACTTGCTATTTCCGCAGACCAAGGGCCACTCAACAGAATTTGGATCTTTTGCATTAATTTCTGAATCAGCTTCTGTGTGTTTCCAAATTCCTTCTTGTTCCAGCATTTTAGCATCTCTCTCAGGGAAAGAAGATTCTGAACAAAGTCTTTAACATGTCCCTCCTCAGGATTTAGCTTCCAATTCTCTTTTATAATTTGCATAAATTGGGGATGACTGAACCAGCACCTATCAAATCTGAAAAGATGGGGACTTTTTCCTTCATACACATCATAACAAATCAGAATTGGGCTATGATCAGATCCTATTGGCTCCAGTACTGCATAATGACCTTTGTGAAAGGTCTCTCCCCAACTAATATTAGCTATTGCTCTATCAAGCCTTTCTCTAATGAACGCCCCCAATTCTCTGTTATTCATCCAAGTGAAATTGCATCCTTTTGCTTCAACCTCAAACATGTTACACTTTGTCATAAAGCACTGAATCTGTCAAGGTCATACAAGGAGCAATCTCTGCCTCCCTCCTTATCAGATTGATACAGTAATTCATTAAAGTCACCACAAATCATCCAAGGAACATCTTCACCAGGATTCAAAAGTTCTATAGACCTCCACCAATGTAGTTTTTGATTGATTGCTTGAGGGCCATAAACCAGAGTAACAGCACCATAATTAACATTATAGATAACTAGAGAATCAAGGTGAATTATATAACGACTTACCACCCCGATTTCAACATGAGTATCACTATTCCACCACAAAGCCAGACCGCCTGATCTTCCAACAGGATCAAAATAGATTCCACAATCAAAGCCACATTTTCTTCGTACCTTCTCAATCTTCTCTCTTCTCATTTTTGTTTCTGATAGAAAAACAAGCTTTGGTTTGTACTTACGACATTGGAACTTTAGATTCCGAACCGTCAAGGTAGTTCCAAGACCTTGACAGTTCCAAGCAAAAATCATAATAACCAACGAAACGCAGAAAATTATTTTGTGAAGATATTCTTCATTGTGCAAAATAATTTTATTTTCCTATTGAAAAATATAGAAATAGCAATGAGAAACAATAATAAAACGAAAATTTAATTAAAAAAAATGATAAAACGAAAAACTTGGCCGCTGAATCATGAGTTTGAGACAAAATACAATAAATCAAACAACAATAATTTTTTTCTAGTAAAAAAATTTTTCCATATTTTTGCGTCTCTCTCTCCTGCCAAGAAAAAGCGCGCAATAAAACCCCTTGTTTAAAAGTAAGCACTGCGGGGGAGGAGATGGGGAAAAATTATAAAGAGGCCTGATGGACAGCTGTTTTCTTGGGCCGAAGATTGCCAGCTGTTTTTTGGGCCGAAGATTACAAGCTTTAGGTTAATGACCTAGAGGCGTAATGGCAGCTGTTTGTTTGGGCCAACCTGTTTTCCGGACAATGCTTGGCATGCTGTTTTTTGGGCCAATGAAGACAGCTATTTGTTTGGGCCAACGACTGACAGCCGTTTTCCGGACAAGTATTGATAAGCTGTTTTTCGGGCCAATAACAACAAGCTGGTTTTGGGCCATGAGTGACAGCTGTTTGTTTGGGCCAACGATAAACAGCCGTTCTCTGGACAATGATTGACAAGCCGCTCTCCCGGCCGATGAATAACAAGCTACTTTTGGGCCAATGATTGACAGCTGTTCGTTTGGGCCAATGATTGGCAAGCCATAAGGAAGTTCGTTTTAATTATGAAGAGGCAAAATTGACAGGCTAGTTTTCAGCCGAAGACAGGGTTTTTGGGGTCAATGATGAACTGGCTGATTTTTGGGCCAGACTGTGTTTCTATGCCGAAGAATGAAGATTGACAAGCTGTTTTTTTTTTTTGGCATAATTGCTTTCTTTTATCAAAGGGCCGAGAGGATGAGAGTTGATAAAATTCCGAAGCCTCAGTTTTTTGGCGCAATTTCTTTAAATTTTACATGATATATCTATATTCTCAAGTTTAATAAATTTGTAGCAAATCTCAGTTTAACAAAAGTGTTAGAGGTTAGTTTGTCACAGAATAATTGCCCCCTTCCCAAAAAGAAAAAAAGCACATCATATAAAATAAGACATGATCAATCACACAACTTATGCAGTGTTTGGAATCACACAACGTTGTTTTATTTAAAATAATATCTTCCAGTGCTTGATAACATGAAATATATTTATTTTTCTAGATTATTTTTGGAGAAATAATAATTCCCCAATGTTAAGAAGAATTATAGTATAAAATACAAATATTCTGTTGGCAGGAAAAAAAATACAAATATTCTCTCAAATTTAAACGTTAGTGAGTAAATAAATTATTAATATTTTATTTCAAAAGAATTAAATTGCCACACCAGTAACCAACGAAACGCAACAGTATGATTTGTAAAGATATTTTTAATAATGGATATAGCAACAATTTTTTTCAATAATCTCCCGTTTTTCTTATAATATTATTCATGTCGTTTTAGAATCTTAAAAGTTTGTAAAACAAACAAAATATAAATCTTATCCATGAAGGGTTAAAAACTGTGTTTTAAAAAATAAAATAAAAATAGCTAGTACCTCCTCCCGAGCTAAATGATCAAGATCCTTAGAGGAGCGTGGCCAAAGCTCCATGAAACCATACCGTGATACAACATCCCGCAGAGAGCTCTCTACTGCTGATGTTCCATCTTCACCTGGTCCAGAGAGTGCTTCTTTTCTTCTTTCTTCAACCTACCATAATACTCAAATGCAAATCAATAAACTTTTTCACAGAGACCTACACAGCCTCCAATAGCAGGGTAATAAAATAAAGTAGACATACTAGATAACGATGGAAATAACAAAATATCTAGTAAATCAAAGCGGATGGCGACCGGCTTAAACTTCATGACTAGTTTACATTTTCTTGCCATCCCGCAAGATCTTGTTTCCAACTATTATTGCGGAATATATAGGAGAAAACTTTGCTTTGAATACATGGATTTACTTTACAATAATGAAGCATAAGGCCATTGGACTTAGTTTAAAAAATCAGCTTCAGGTGATCTTCAGCCCTCTCTTTACAAAGTCATAATGTATCCTAGTAGTGGATTTTCGACAAACATACTATTCCCCAAAAAGCCAACCAACCGCCAAGTGTACAAGAAGAAATCAAAAATATCGTGGAAAAGTAGAAATTTGATAAAAACCTAATTGTGACATGATATGTACGTACCCAAAAGCTAATGTGCTCACCATCAACATGCTCGCAAGGTCTCCGTAACTTTGCTCAAACTGGGTGAACTTTTTCCAGACCTGCAGATAGAAATATTTAACAGCCACATTGGAATTGCAGGTATGCTACAACCACAATCACATTGAAGTCTGTAAGCAACACCTGATAGCCATACAAAGCTAGATAATAGCATAAATTACAAGTGAAAAAGAACAACGCGTCAAACTGACAAGAATATGGAAAATGTCATGCCTTCCTAAATAACAAGGTCCCATATTGCTCACAAGTGTTGCAAAAAGAAAAATGCAAAAGTTTTTATACATGTGGCTATCGAATGGTTGCCAGCAACAAAGAGACCCTTGATCACGTGATCATTAAATTCATACCAAAATTTTCGACAATAAAGACCCTCCACTAGGCAGCCTCACCTATACCACGTATCAATTTAATGAAGATAGTCATACAAATAGTCATTAAAAAAAGTAATTTAACAAAATCCCAACGTTAGAGAAACTTCAATCAAGCCTCAAATACATTCCCCAGTGGAATCTCCATATCCCATGATTTGGAGGTCTTCATCTTCAAACATTCGCCAAAGAAATGGTAAGCACCAAAGCCATTAGGCATTAAATGGAGTGCACAGTAAGCAGTATTTCTTAAGGAAAACAATTATTTCCACAGGGCCAAAACAACACTTGAGCATTTTATCGCACAGCAGTAGTGTTTTTTTAGGTCCCACATTACCTATAATTCTTAGATTCTTTACCAATCAGGCCTAGAATGGAGTAAACATTTACAGCATTTATTTAGAAAAATACTTACTTCTGGTAAGGGGGCAAACACAACATAAGCATTTATTAGTGCATGAGAAATGTTCTTCTTGTTTTTTCTGGGGGGGATAGGGAACACAATATGCACATGCTTGGTTTCCTCCATTGTTGGTAAATTTCACAAAAGAGCAAGAGAAAAAGTTGGTGCCAGGCATATCTCAACTGATTCATCAGATGTAAGTGAACTTAAAGCCCGTTCAAACAAAGCCCGTATATTTTGCTCATCATTCAAACGTGCCAAGAAATCTCCATAGCTAAATTATCAAGAACATCAATCACCACAGTCGATCACTGTATAAAATCAGAACAGTAGCAGTAATAAATTTTTCAGAAAGATTCAACAAAAACATAAAGCAACAAGAAGTAAAGGATCTTGAGGTATTTCATTTTGTAAGCACCTTAAACAGACACCAACATTGCTGGATGTTTTAAGCAACTTTGGTTGCCATATGAAGAGCTCAAGATTTACCAGGTCATGTATAATAAATCCATGATTCATGTAGACAAAACAACCAGTGATGTTCCTATAATTCTAGCAACACTTCAGAAAACAATTTTGAGACTGCACAGTTTAACACCCAAGACATCAGCACACATGGCCAAAAAAGCCTGTACAAGTACCAGCAAAATGTATTACGACAGACCCTACTACAACAAAGAAAACTAACTAATTAAAAATCTCCATATAAAAGCAATCATTACCGACAAATAGCGGTCACTACCCACAAAAAAAAAAAAAGAATCTTGTGCACTTACCATGTGCTGTCACTCACCAAAGAGAAATCAAATAAACAAACCACCAAGGCACGGACTAACTAGAATGCGTTGCAGCATATGGCACAAAGGGGGACACTTAGGGGCCGTGCCCAAAGATAGAAGAGGGTGGAGGAAAGTCCTTACAGGATGTCCTTTTTCAAATGATAGCGCTAATAATATAACAAACTAGTTGCCACAAAACATAAGAGAGGTAATCAACAAAGTGCAATAGGAAAAGGATTGTTGAGCCGGTCGAAGAACTCACTCTAGAATGTAAAAAGGTTCATGCATGAATCGCTTTAGTCCTGCTTCAAAAACATTGTTCGCTATCTAAATAATTGAGCAGTTATCATGCAGTGGTTCAAAGTCTATTTGCCAACAGTATATCTTTTTGGCATTATCAGCTGTTAAAAATCAGAACAATTTTACATTGAGTGGACCCCATGAAGGACACAACAAGGGCGAGAAGGGTGTTGATGGTGTGAACATGCATTCTCAGACTAATAGGGAAGACCAGCACCAACTTTTGTGGAACATCAATTGCAAATTAATAACAGACATCTCCTTGCTCATTCTTTCAGCATACACACACAAATTCCAAGTTATAAAATTACATAGAATTACATATCTAACCATGCACGCATAAACATGCAAAAATTTGTCGGCAAATGTAGGGAAGCAGAATGAATAGAAATAACCACCAGGCACATGATTCTGTAGATAATATAATCTCATGACCTACGGTATAAAAATAAAATAGAATTGACCTCGAGTAATTATCGCATAAAGAAAGGAGAAAATTGTGGCACCTTTGGGTCCTTATCAAGACAAAAGGTAACGATAAACTACAATAAAGAAAATGAAACTCTTAAGGACATCAGAAAAAATACGATCAAGAAAACGCCACTACTAAAGACATCAGAAAAAATTTGATTCTGCAGGTCACATCCACACTTTTATAGCCATATAATTTCATAGTACAAAACAACACTTTTTCTTCTTGCAGCAGGACTTTGAGGATGCTTATACAAAAGTCCTTTAAAAAAAAAAAAAAAAAAGGTTAAGGTTGCAATTAAAAGGTGAGATGTGGAGGCAATAGTAAATGCATTTTGAAAAATATACTAAAATAATGAAAGAAAAGGACCACATACCAGGGAGAGCCTCTACCCTTTGAAAAGGCTATGTACTCCATCCATACAGGGCCAGATTCTATGTCTGCTTCTGTCAGTAAATAATTGGAATTGGTTAAGTTAGTGGGAAGAAAGCACCATTTTGTTATTCTGAATATAGACCACGGATATCTTTTCCCCTTCCTTTGCCCCAAGTATATTTTCAAACCTTAATATCCGTAAACAGTATTACGGAAAGAGGACATTATCTTAGGAAAACATTTATAATAATAAATAAGGACTTCAAATAACAGAAATCTTCCAGCAACACATCTTACAGGAGAAGGCTACTAGCAGAAAGCTCTAAATACATGTAAAACGTAACTGAAGACTACTTTCAGTTCCCATGCACATATTTGGCAGGGTGACTTTAACTAGTTGAAACAAATTTGAAATATACCATTGCGAGGTCCACCAAATAATGCCCAAAAAAAATTAAACAACATATAAGAAAATTAGGTTATTCAAATATGATCAGCAAAAAACAATTATGAAGTGCTTCTAAGCCAAAACATAATCTGCTTCTGTCTTTATGTATACATGCTAATTGCCAAGACATTCTAGGCCAGTAAACTTTAGGACATCCAGTTTCGCAGAAGCCCCTCACTAAATCTCGACCAAGTTTAGATCAATTAATTCTCTCACGTTGGCCTCTGCACCAAACAAACATCTCAAAAAGTAAAAAGTAAAACCAAAGCTGTTATATAATGACCTATAAGAAACGAGGCGATGAGATTGAGGGAAAACATTTACCAGTGTAGTTGAACATAAAATCAAAAGCTTTTCTAGTCTCTTCTCGACCCTCTACCCCTTTCTTGTCATTAACCTTTCTAATGAGACGGATGTAATATCTCCTACAAAGCCAAGATGAAAAACAAGCTGAAATGTTTAACATAATACCAGTAGAGAGATAAAAAGATGGTCATTCATTCATGTTTACAAGGAAAGCAATCCGAGTGGATATTTAAGAATGCCTCTGTTATATTTATACGGTTTCAAAGAATATATATGGGTGGAAAAGTCCTCGGAGCATAGCTTCCAAGCACAAGATAACATCTCCATAGTGAAATGTCGATTATTTTTATTCCTTTCAATACCTAAGAATCGAGAAGGGTGAGCAGAGGTGGAGGGGCCAAGAAAGAAAAATCGAGAAACAAATATTTGAGATGCCAATAGTGTGCATTTACCACATATTCATATGTAATACTAATGTTCAAAACATTATTAACAAAAACGATTGATACAACATATTGACACCAGTTACAGTAATAGTGATCGGAAAGCAGGTTTATTCCGTCATCCATTGGCCTCATGAATCGACAGGCATCAACTAAAAATTTGATTGGTGGCATCATCATTATTTATAGCCATATGTGCCTCCACAGCAAACTTCGTTAAACATTAGCAATGTATAAAATCACGCACTACTACGTGTAAGGAACACCATGGAAGCACCAAATAAAAACACTCATGTTCATTAACCAAAAAGAAAAAAAGAAAAAAAAACACTCACAGCTGTCGGAAACAAGGTGAGAAGTTGCTCGTATATAGGTGTCGCCTCCGCGATTGGTAAATGCTGAATAGAGAAACACGATGAGTGACTGATCCTTTCTTCACACAGGGGGTGAAAGTGTTGTAACAGAGACACGAAATTTGAACTTGAAAATGGGACAAACCCGAGCCTCATTCACCAACATTTCCGCGGTTTCAACATTGTGCTTGTCGGCCACTGGCTTGCTAGAATCAGTAGTATTGTCCTGGAGGGAAAAAAATTCATAAATTTATGGATAATCTGAAGAAGGTGATTGATGCTCAAATTAAAAAGCAACAGCGTCGTGCAATAACAGGTATAGAAGACGCCAACTCAAGGTAAGACTTGATTACGCACACTATCCGTCAAATATACCGTTGAAGGGTTACCCCCTTACCGGGGTCTCAATGAGAACTTGACCGGGGCTTATATATAAGGATCGGCGACGGTAAGGAGCGGTGGCTTAATTTTTACGTTGTTATTTTTTTTACAATGCGTTTTTTCCCGCCACCGGGTAAGTAATTTCACAGGTTTTTTTGTTTTTTGTTTTCCCTTTTAAGGGCCAGAATATGGACAGGCTGTTCGGATTTTTTTTTTTTTAAACAGCTATATCTTTTACTTATGATGGACAGGCTGTTTTTCTATGTGCCAGAATACCAAAAACCGCTAAAAAAATAACTAGCCCATAGAATAATCATTGATAAAATTCTGAAGGCATAAAAATACAAAATTCCAATCACGTAATAATTAAAACACATATTACTTAATAATACCTGATTCTTAACATAAGAGCTAGATAGATAATTTAGAGAAATTAAAAATATTAGTTAAGATAATTAGCTATAACAAATACATGTTGATTTCTCTAAACTACTATTTTTAATCATATATATTGGATATTTTGGGGAAAATGTAAAACAAAATAGATTAAAATTTTATATTTATAACTAAATTAAATTTCCAACCAACTTTTATATTAAGGAGATAGTATATCTATATTTATACACCTAATAAATATCTAGCATTCACTTAAAAAAAAAAAAGGTTTTGTAGGTCCGTTTGGTGCGTCACATGCAGCTCCCTTGGAAAAAATTAGCGCATCATATGAGACGAGATCAGTGAGTCCTGATAAGTCTATGAGTGTGTTTAAATTAGCAGCAAAAGAAGTTATTTTTTCTTAACTTGATTTTTGCAAATGCCAAATACTGTAATATAATTTATGTTTGAACTGGCTTTTATAAAAAGTCAGCTTAAGAAGTTAAAACTTATTTAGATAATTAATAAAAAAAATTAAAATTTATATGTAAAATGATTAAAAAAACATGAATTTTATTAAGTAATACATATATGTATATAATGTGACAATTGCAAAAGAAATATTAAAAATAAAATTCTTAAAAATAAAAAATTTAATTTATTAGGAAGAAATTAAAAAATACTAAATTACTTAATTAAATATATTTAATGGATAAAAATATATATAAATTTGTTTTGACCAGAAAAATATATATAAATTAAAATATGTACATGGAGCATAAGAGTATTAATCAAATTGAATAGTGACGCAGCACCTCTATCCTTATCTTTTTTTTCAGCCACAAACAAAGACAAATACGCGTGCAGAAAGAGGATAAATGGGGAAGTAAAAAATTTAAAACGTAACTAATGCCCTTCACAGCTTCTCTCACAGCACCATCTCGCGAAAGTTAAAAAAAAAAAAAAAGAGAAGAAGAAAAAGAAAGAGCCCATTTGACGTAAAAAATCAGATTCCAAAAATATGCTCATGATTCTAAATATAAAATCTTTATACTAGTGTGTATATCGTACAAGGGTCTTGGGTCTTATATTGGACCGGAGGGGTAAATTCAAACAGTATTTTAACCCCAAAAATTATTTTTACCTGTAAAGATGCTTGTTCGAGCCTCCAACTGTGGTTCCAAATACACCCTATATTACATTATGTAATGCTTGGTGTCACACGTTGTTGTGCGGGCTTGAGGGGATGGCGATGCTGTACAACTTTACAGTTGAGCGGGTTACATGAGGGGTGAGACGCGGTACAGGGTTGGCGCCTTTTTTATAATTACGGACAATATGGCCGAAAAGTTACAAAGAGGCCTCATCTAGAGCTGTTTTCTTGGGCACAGATTGACCAGCTGTTTTTTGGGCCACAGATTACAGGCTGGTGCATGAGAATTGCGAGGAGGTGTAATGGACAGCTGTTTGTTTGGGCCGAAGATTGACGGCTGTTTATTGGACCAAAGATTACAGGTTGCAAGGTAGCGCGTATTAATTAGGAAGGGGAGAAGTTGGCAGGCTGTTTTGTTTTAGCTGAAGCCTTTTTGGGCCAATATACTGGCCGTTTTTTGGGGCTTCAAACACATTACTTGATATTCCTACACTCTCATATTACATAATGAATAAAGGTTTTATATTTAAAACTATATTAAATGTTAGGGGTGAGCAAATTAAAATGGAAACCGAAAACCAAACCAAATCTAATTAGACTTTTTTGGTTCGGTTTTTTGTTTTTATTCGGTTTCTATTTATACAAATTTCGGTTTTTGATTTTCGGTGCGGTTAGTATTAAAAACAATTAGTTTATCCGAATAACTGAAATTAATAAAAAAAAACATGGGCCTCTTGTTATATGTTTCCTTGTCTTTTCCCAAGTCCAAAGTCCAAGCCTAACATATTAAAATTATTTTTTAAAAAAATGTTGCCGTGCTACTGCTACCCTGACCTAAATCCAAAATAGAAATTCTTCGCTCCTCAAAATCTCTCTTTGTCGGTGCTGCGTAAATCTCCACTGGCAACCAGCTCTCCACCATCTCCATTCTTTCATGCATTGCAGAATCAGTGCTGACAGGTGAACGAACACTTTGGGCAGGATGGTGGTAGATCGAAGTGAAGGTAAACACAATCACCATCACCATCACTGTCCTCACCCTCCTATATCTGCTCGACATTGCTGTTGCCTCTGCATTCTATCCTCAGAGGCTTTGAGTAGCATTCTTTCTGTTCATCCATCCCTCTTATTCTGCTCAGGTTTTTCTCCATTAAACACACTACATTTGAATTTTGGAACTGAAACCTTTTAATTTTTGATCCCATTGCTGGGTATTTGAAGCTGCTTTTGGCATACCATATTCTAAATTGTGTGTTGAAATCTTTGGTGCTCAGATTTTCATCTTTTTTACTAGACGGATGATGACGTGCTGTTATTGATTGAAATATGGAATCCAAATTTTGTGCATTTGCTGCCTTGAGTATGCGATTCCCATTCCCTTCGGTAAAATAGAGCCTTCTTTATTTTTTGTTTTAATTTTTCTTATTTTCTGGCAAGTTCTAGGAAGAGATGTGGACTTTTTATATTTATACTCTTTTCAGTTGTTTAGACAATGTATTATGTTTCTTTCGATCTTGTTGAGATTGTTTGGTTTGTATTTTGCATTTAGTTTTGCTTGTTGAGAATTTAGAAATTCTAATTGGATTGAAAAGTATATAAAAAAAAAAACCTAAAACCGATCAAAAAACCGAAAACCAAACTAAAATATTTCGATTAATTTGGTTCGATTAATCTCCATTGATCAGTTTCGGTTCAGTTACAAAAATTAATACAATTTGGTTTTTCAATTTTTATCGAAAACCGAAACCGAACACTTATATACTCACCCATATTAAATGTCAAACTAAATTTTATATTAACTGGCAGAGGTAGTATTTTACATTACAAAAATAATATTTTCCAATGTTTGATAACGTGTAATATATTTATTTTAATGCGTTATTCTAAATTATTTTTAAAGAAATAATACTCCTCACTGTTAAGAAGAATTATAGTTCAGCGTACAAATATTCTCTCAAATTTTAAATGTTATTGAGAAAATATATGATTAATATTTTATTTTAAAAGAATTAAATTACTAGCAACACCAGTAACTAATGGGAAGCAACAATATATTATGTAAAGACACTTTTAATAATGAATACAGCAAGAAATTTTTTCAACGATACCTCCTTTTTCAGTTACATTTTTCTTTGCCCCACTGCTTTCATAGACACTTATTCATTATCTCACATGCCACAGCCCACAATGAGCCCAATCCCGTCTATGATCATCTCCCTGCTCTGTCTGTGCATACTGCATAGCTTCCTCCCACCATGGGCACAAGGAATCTAAATCCACTTATAGTTAAGTTTTTACGAGAATTTACATCCAGAAATTGATTCTCCCAATTCCTGTAGAAGACTTTGCAGTGCAGAGAAATAAATATAATGAGTGGGATCTACATGAATGGATTTAATATATCTCAGCGTTCAAAGCCAACACCCAGTCTCCAAAAAAACAATAATCCTTCCGTCATTTACCCAACAAAAGCTATACAAAAGGCACCAGTCACGTTCTACAAGAGTCAGCTGAATGAACTGAATGGAAGCCCCATCATGTCGAGATGGTTTTTATTCTGCTCACTTGCATTCATCAGCAGGTTTGTCTTTGATTTCTCCCCGGCACTCATTTTGCTGGGTGCTTTGTTCAGGAACAAGCTGACCAACCTTCACATATTTTTCAATGAATTTATACTCCCAGTCCTCCAAAATTACAAGTTCTTCCTCACTCAGACCTTCAAGATTCCCATTGATATCCTCAGGTTTAAAAGAAAGGAGGGCAAGGGCTCTGCTGCATTCTTTTCCGGCAAACATAGCATACGGTCCACCAGGACCATAAAAATTCCTGCATGTGACCATGCAAAAAATAATGTTCATACAATATGATCTGGTACCATCTTCAAATGAATCTAGAAGCACTACAGCATCGACTAATTTGATTCAAAAGTCACACACAAGGACAGAATGATAGCATTAATCAAAATATTCCAAAGCGTGTGTATAATGACGGAAAGAAGAAAAAGAATGCCATAACGTCATCTTAGTGCAAACTCAGGTCATATATGCAGATAGCAGATGACATGGGTTAACATCATTTCAAAGATTCAACGATATCATCCTCCCCGTAGAACATATGACTTACGGACTAACGGACAAGACTATGAGCTTGCTCTTTTCTGTATTTTGTGACACAATATTTAGCTATAATTAAACTCGTATCTTGGTGTCCATTTTCTTTTTGTCGAGCATACAATAGTTCAAGACAGAATCAGTTGAACAGACATATCAAATTAAAGATTTATCCGCTATCCTGAAGAGGCGCAAGCATGGGGCCAAGTCTAAATCCCAAGGAGGCGCAATATATAGAAGAAAATGAGAGCAATTGCTTGACAGTCAAACTAGCATACGCCAAACGTACGCATAAAATTCTAACCTTTCAATTCGTTGGCTTTTGCCCACCACAAATACACCCGTTGCCCGTATAAAATTTCACGCATTTTCATTCATTTTCCCATCCACCAGACAAACAGCAACGAAATCAATGAATTATACAGTTATCGACAACCCATAAAGCCACCCTGGTTTAATATTTGAAGCATGCTCAATTTGTAGCTTATAAGCCATCGCGAATATACTCTTGAGTTATGTTCATAAAACTTTCCTCCAGTTATCAGACAGTCACCGTTAAAACTAGAGTCAAACTTTCAAGTTGGGGAAGAAAAAGGGAAAATTGGAGTACCTGCCGGCAGAGACATCGTAGATCTGGCCTCTGATTGACACTAAGATTGGTTTACTGGGGTCGGAGCCATTAAAGATTCGCAATTCCTGCTCAGTCATCTCTCCCAATTGAACCGCCTCAGGAGCGTCGACGTTCAGGCCATCCAACCCAAGATTGTTTGGAGCGGTAATGGTAGGAGGCCTATTGTAGTCTTCAGGAGAAACAAACATTCCGCAGACTATTCGGTAGACCATAACCATCATAACCAGAATGGTGAAGAAGGCCGTGGGGGATAGGCCTGTGTACCACGTTATCGCCTCCATTACTGTCGAGTGCACACCCATTTGTCGAATAGCTAAAGCTTAAGGTCACTATGTGCGAAGGAGTGTTTGGGCACGGGATACATGGGATATCGGAATCGAAGCTCACAATGGAGAAGAAGATACGAGAATTCCCGGGTTCTCGCAGATAGTGGCGGGTGGGAGGAAGAAAGGACCGACGACACCTAATTTCTCCCACCAACCCACTAGCGCTTTGACGGTTGACATTCGGCGAGGCCGTGAGTGGAGAGAAAGGCATCCAATGGCACCTCACTTATGTTATGGATTTTGCCGAGCACGATTTAAATTTGTACAGTTTTAAATAAATAGGAAATTGACAAAAAAAAAGTATAAAAACTAAACTTAGAAATTATTTATTTCTAAAAACTGGCAACAAAAATAACACTCACGCCATAAAAATTTACAAATGACTCAAGAGTAAAACACTTGAGTCTCTTAAAAATAAATAATTTGTGAATTTGATTCTGTTAAAAAAAAATCAGTTTTTCTCTAAAAGGTTATATTTATAGACATTAATTTCTCACTGTCAGGGCTTGTTTGGAGCTCTGTTCAAAACGGGCTTTTAAGCAAGTTCACGTAAACCGAGACAAAACTCTCCTCACATACTTATCTCGTATTCCGTAAATCACGTTTGAAAAGCTACTTATAAGTCAATCCAAACAAGCCCTCAATCTCCCGATGAGAAAAGAGATAACTCTTTTTCAGAAACCATTTAATCAATTTATTTTGGAATATAAATGTTACTAGTATTTTGTTTTTTTTAAAGTCAATTTTATTTAAATTCATATAAAAAAATTACATAAAAAGATTAGTTAGTCACATTCAGTACCCATCACGGTATGGGGGGGGGGAAGCAGAACATACGTGCACCAAAGATAACTAAAAAGCTAACATAATAAGAACAGAAAAGAGACACAGCATTATACAAATTAAAGCAGATCTGCATTTAAATGGAGTCCCAGGTTGTTGCTAATAAACCCGAGACATCTCAGGTCTGAAATTACAAGTTACACCAACCATTTCTCTGCATTGCATGAACATTTAGTTGTGCGCACATATTTTGTTGAAACTGCATCATATCACATGAATGGACTTGCAAACTTGGATCCAATAGATGACACTGTTACAAGAAATTGAGGCAACCTAATATCTCATGACATTTGTATCGTTTAAGGTGTCGAGATGAGTTCTAAATTCTAATACAACCACGCCAAAGATAAACAAATGAAAAATAGCACTGAAATTTCACATCAGCCATGTGACAACCTGCATGCTTGACACCGCATAGAAACAATACGAAGACAGGCATGCGCTGCATCATTAGTATCTTGTATTTACTGATATATAATATGACATTTATAAATAATTTAAAATAGCTTTGATGCAGCGTGACTTTGCCAAAAAGGCAAAAACCCATTTCTTCTTCATAGACCCAAAGTCGGATGATGAAAAATTATCATGTCCGATTCTTTTGGAGGATGAATCTATAAGAATTCACTTATCTCAATAATAAAAAAACCTACCTTGGCTTCAAATCTGAGCACAGAGCTACTAATATGAGTTGTACTTACGGGTCCAACCTGCTAATTCACAAAAAACTGGTGGATTGATTTGGCTAGCCTATCAGTAAACAAATCTTTTTAACTCTTACCACCAGGCCCACAACCTACCACTGGTTAGTCCACCAACCCCGCCTAATTGACATTTATTTTTTTTATATTTAAATTTTTTAAATTATTATTTTATATTATATTCTATCTAAAAAGATACATATATAATTTATTTGGTGCTTCCGATCAAATATTTTAAGAAAAACAAAAGTATCATTATATTTTTCAAGACATTGAATAAGAAAAAAAACAAAAAAATTTAAGTAAATAATTATTGACAGGTTAATGAGCAGCCTACCAACCCATCTCAACGGATTTCATCCAACCCATCTTCAAGCAATCTATTTATAACCCCAATCATAAAAATCCAATCCATCACGGGTCAACCCACGATCCGCTGACTGCCCATATTGCTGCTCTTACCGGAGACCAATAAGCACAAACTACATTCATCATGCCTATAAGCAGTGCTACTTGTAAGGTTCAACAATTTATACCTTATCTCTTTGTGAGTTGTTGTCTGCCGCTTTTCATGATTGTTCAAGAGCTCGCTGGCGATCACCTTAAAAAGGATTCTTTCATGCTTTACTAGATAAAATCTCATTTTATATAATTACCTCATATATAATGTAAAATTGCTCAAAATAAATTAATGCAGAGAACCTGACAGAGGGAGTAGAGCAACTCTTCCAGCGTCATAACTCCGAAATGGTGGTTATGTTTGTTTATCACATATCATGACATAGAACCCATATCACGCATGTCACAGTTAATTCTGCTCACTCCCTTTGGTTCAGTGTGTAAGACTGACGTGATAGCCACTACACCACTGCAGCAGGATGACCCCCCTTGGTTCTTTACAGTTCTCGTTCGATCTAAAACGCAATATTCAACTTCTTTTACACACACACACACATATATATTTGCTGTAATTAATCTAAGAACTAAAAGAATTTTATTAGTTAAATATAATATTTCAATTTATTCTCTCTCCTCACTTCTAAACTATTTTTATTGATTACACATAATAAATGAATTTTTATTCAATAACAATCATGATTGGACATTTTAGGGAATTTAACTTATAATTGTCACAAATAACTAACCAAACAAATTTCTTTAACTCACTCATAGTTAAGTACTCCCTCCAGTCCATAATATGAGATGTTGGTTGGACGAAAATTACAGTCCAAAATATAAAATGTTGTCAAAATAATTAATGTAATTTTTTAACTTCTGCCTTCTGTTAAATATAAGGATCCAGTTAAACTTTTATCTCTTGATATGTGAGAAAAATTAATTAATTTCTTATATTATAAACTAGAGGGAGTAGCTCTTCAATTAAGAGTGAAAATGATTTTTTTTTTGGGTCAGTTTCAAGAGAGGCAACTAATATTTTCAGTGCCAATAAGCCGGTTAAAACTAGTTTATGGGTCTGTTTGGGTCAGTGTTTGCTAACCCAAAAACAATTTAAAATGAGCTTAAATTTTAAAATAAGCTGGGTCGCAAATCAGACCTGTTTGGCAGAGCTTAAAACCAATTGGGCTTATGTTAAAAAAGCTTATCTGAACACCCAATTGCCATAAGCTGCAAGAAGGAGCTTATGACTTAAATCAGAAGAGCTTTTGGCGGGAAAAAGAAAATTAAGAAGAGCCGTTTTGCAATGTCAGATCCTTTTTTCCTCCCACTCTCACGAGCATCACTTTCGTTTCTTTTTCACTTTATATACCTGAGAAAAAAAAAATTTAATTCACTTAGTCAGTTTCACTTATTCATATTAAATTAATTTAAATTCATTGTCTTATGTCAATTTATTTTTTTTATTATGTTTCACTTTATATTTAAAATATTTTTTATGATTTCTCTAAAGTTTTCAATTTTAATTCACTCATTAAATTTTACTTCTTCATTATATTATCTCAATTCTTTTTTTTTTTAATGTTTCACTTTATATTTCAAATATTTTTTATGATTTTTTAAAAATTTTAAAATTTAATCCACGCATTAAATTTTATTTCTTCATATTAATTTATTTTAATTTTATTGTATTGTTTGAAATCAATTTTTTATCATGTTTCATTATTTATTAAAACTCATACCCATTTTGGTAATTTTTCAGTCAAACTTACTTTTACACAACTATAATCCAAACAAGCTTTTACCAATCTCACTTTTATAAACTAACTTTTTTAAACTCCAATCCAAATACAATTCAGCTTATCCAATTTAATTTTTATCAACTTTATTTTTTTATAAGCTAATTTTTTTATAAACTGCTCTTCCAATCACTGAGCCACTGTGTCTACTGTCTAGAATTGGATGGAAGAGAATACCGGGTGATCGGCATTGTGGCAGCAGAATTTTTGTAAGAAAACGGCCAAAAGCAAAAAATACGGGAAGCTTTGATGACGTGGCACATCTATATGTGTATTGCGGGAAGTGACGAAGAAACATATGGGATCGTAAACATTCGCGTTGGTATTGTCACTACTCCGGATCACGCACGTGGCGCGATTGCAAAGGGCAGCCAGCCACCTGCTATTCCCGGTCAAGATCAATCCCGCTGGGCCGTTCCTCTGTGACATATGTACGTCAGTCCAGGCCTGAACACTTGCCACGTGGTGACTTGTCACGAAACGTGATGTTGATCTAACGGCTAGTTTCGGCCTTCTCGTTCCCTCATTCGGTTTCGGACCTTCGAAGAAACATATCATATCAGGCAAGAGGCAACACATTTTTGCTTTATTTTCGCGCTTTACCGACGTATTTGCCAAGGTGTATGTCCGTCTGATTCTCTGCAATAGGTAAGAATTTTCTGTGCCTCATCTTTACCATTATAATCGCTTCGTCCTGACAATTCTTTTGGGCGATTTTGTCAATTCCGGTACTTACCACTCTCTCTCTCTCTCTCTCTCTCGTTTGGCTTTTCTTTTCGTCCTGTTCACTTGTTACGGCCTGTGTTAGCTTGGGGTCTCCCGGAGAAACCTGTGAAGCGAGTGGTTGGTTGGTTGGACTTCCAACTCGTCGCCCCGCGACATGCGTGCAGTAATGACCCTGGTTTTCACAATTTGTGGAGCGGAATGAGTATATCTCTCTAGGGACGAGTTAATGAATTGCATGGGGTCATTTGATTTTTCGAGGTCTGAAGAACTGATGCTCAATTGCTCATGAACTGTTTGTATGGTTGTATCAGTGTTTACATTTATGGTTGATATGATTATCTGGTTGCAGTGAGTGATCACTCCGTGTAAATTCGTGTATTTTTGTTGATTTCTTGATCTCATCCATGCCTCATAAATCCGTGTCTATTCATCAAACATGAGACCTAAAAGCCATTTACAGGGCTTTTTGTCTGTATGAAATCTTGCTATCTCTTCGGCAATCTCACTCAGTCACATTTTTTTAAAGACACGGATCAAACATGAGACCTAAAGTATAGTTGATTGTTCTTGGGACCATTGGTAGAGCCCTTTAAATTTGTTTAGTTGAAGAGAGATGAGGTGACTGGGGAAAACAATTGGCACTCTTAGTTCATGCTTTCTGGGGCTGGGTGCGTTTGCTACTTGACTTGTGGTACGCAATGCGGGGTAGCCTGGTAGGCCACATGACTTTTTGTTATTGCAATGTTTGTGGGATGCAATAATCTAAAGGAGGGGGGAAAGCTGCAATAATATATGACTTAATGGTGAAATTGGGAGGGGCTGATTTGAAATCAAACGTCCAAAAATATTTTTTGTGTGAGTGTAATCAGTCATTTTTACCCTGCTTTGACAAAATGACGAACATGGCAGTTTTGGGTTCAAATTTAGCTCTGATATGCCGTTCAAGTTGAAGCAGTCTATAAAGCAAGCATTAGTTGGGGAAAACATGAATGTCTTTCAGCATGCTTCATTTTTTTTTTTTTTTGGGTGGTTTTTCTTTAAACATCTTTGGTAATGGAATCACCTCCTTCTCTATCATTTCTTTATTTCTTCTCCTATTCTCCTTACCTGTGACGTTCACTGCATAAAGAAATTAAATATGCAAATGTAAATTGATCAGTTAAAGGATTCATGTACTTGCCCTAAGCATCTGGGACTGAGACTTTTTGCTGGTCTGGTGGATTCAGGCTGTGTTAGTTTGATAGGGATCTGAAAATATGGCATCCCTGAAACTGAAAGGAGGTGCAACAGAAAAAGCGTTGTCTCCTGTAGAGCAGCAGGCCAAGGTTAGCCCATTTGATAATATTTGGCTTCTTTTTATATCATAAAGGAATAAATTTTACTTTTACGGATATATATTTTCTTTCCGTCTTTCTATCGAACATTCTTCATTTATCCATTTGCTTATAAGGAAATTAATTCATTCTTTTTAAATCTCCCACCTGCCAAATTACAACGTTGACCATGGTGACGCAGTTGGGTATCTTTCTTGAATTTGGGTGAGGAGGAAAACTCCTTGCTAGCTAAGAGGTTCAACTAAGATCGATAACTTGATATAGCATTTTAGGGGAATATTTTGTTCTAGGCTAATTCATTTCCCCCTTCAGATTGGCGAAATCAGAAAGATTATTGGTCCAATTACTGATCAGTTCCCAGCATTGTTTTCGGATGCATCGATACTGCGGTTTCTCAGAGCACGAAACTGGAACGCCAAAAAAACTGCAAAAATGATGAAAGAAACTTTAAAATGGAGGGTGGAATACAGGCCAGAGAAGATTCGATGGGTAAGCATAATCATAAATTCTATTTCATTTCTTTGTTTGAAATGATTGCAAGTCAATCCTGAAGAGTATGAAATGTGGCTGTTCTCTGAATGCGTTGTAATACAAATACTGTGTTAGAAATTTTGTCGACTCGGATGCATATAACTCGCCTAATAAAAGAATACAAGACCCCAACAGCCACCCCACCCCCCAAAAAAAAAGAAGAAGAAGAAGACAGAAGTTTCACTGTCTTTGCGGTTCATTGGAATACCGAACGATTCATAGAACTAGAAAACAAAATCATAGACCTTGAACATTGACTTAACAAACGCGTGTGAGAAGCTTTTAAGCTGGAAGATGGGTGATACTTAAACAAGATGGCACGTGTCATCAGCTCTTTTAAGCGTTGGAAGCCATATAAATTAGGAGGTTCTATCGGGCCAGATCTCTCTTTGTGGCTCGCTTTTGATGAGCTTAATTTTTCCTTTATTTTTTTAAAATCCAGTTGTAGATAAGACTGCACTTTATGGTTGAGATTCTAAAATATTGTGGTAAGTTACGTTCTATGGCATATATATGTGCAACTGAAAAACTAATTTCTATCTGTGCAATTAGGATGATGTATCTTGCGAAGCTAAGACTGGCAGGCTGTATAGAGCTGACTTCTTGGATAAGCAAGGGAGGATTGTTCTTGTGATGAGAGCAGGTGTTCAGGTAGTCGATATGGCTGTATGAGAATTCACAAAAGTCAGTGGCCTCTATTTATTTTTGGGCATAACGATTCTATAGTGTCCTTTCTTATAACGTTCTTGTGAAGTTTGGAGAGCACTATATGAGGAGTAGGAATGTGTATGATTATCTTACCCTTTTTTTCCTTTCTTCTCTCTCCAAATTTTACAAAAACTCAACAGTGGAAACTTTACTGGACTTTTCCTTCGTTTTTTATGGTGGTAACTGACTATTTTATTTTTGGATGTCATTGTTTTTTTTTTTTTTGGGGAAGTGGTTTTTGGATTCACTGTTAATACAATTAATGTTTCATTTCCTCAATTGTGACCGACCCTTTTTTCCTTGTCAGAGTACAAGTTCCGCAGTAGAGCAGATCAAGTACTTGGTCTACTGTATGGAGAATGCCATATTAAATCTAAATTCTGATCAAGAACAGATGATTTGGCTTGTTGATTTTCAAGGGTGGAGCAAATCAAGCGTATCATTAAAGGTTACTAAGGAGACTGCTCAACTCCTGCAGAATCATTACCCTGAGAGATTGGGCCTGGCAATCCTATACAACCCACCAAAATTATTTGAGTCCTTTTGGACGGTATGCTTTCATAAGCCTCATAACATCTCGCTTTCTTTTATCATTGTCTAGAAGACATTTTTTGATTAGCAAATTCGCCTGCAAGCTGCTGATGTATTTTGTTCTTCTTGAATCCTAGAACTATACTTTCACGGGCACACGAGTTCACACCTGCCATCATCAATATTTTTTCTTTCTTATTCATTTTGCTCTTGAGAGAGTGAATAGAATTTGTGTCTGACGCTGTTCATCAGTGTTTACAAGAACGTCATGTGCTGTGCAATGTGCACAACTATAAAGATGAGATGATACATATTCTACGTGACAGGATATTATTGACTTGGCTGTGCACTGCTGCTATATGATTTTAATATAAGCAAGGCATAACTATATTCTACAGTGGAAATGATCTCATTTAAAACTTGGTTGACACCATCTTAAAGTTATGTAATTGCTGGTGCAGCTGCCTGCAGTTAGCCGATGAATTTTGCTGCCAAATTTTCATTAATTTCCATTGTGTAAATGAGTATCATTGCCTTGTCCATTGTGGAGTGCAACGCTCTTAGAAACCAAGAACTGAAGATTGAGACCAAAGTGGATAGTATATGCATCTATGTTTTTAATTCGAACTGGAAAAATTGTAGACAATAGCAAAAATTGCTGGCAAATGAGCTTTGCCATAAAGCAGAGCTTCAGATGTTGATATCCCCACCTCGGGGGTGAAATTTTATGCTTGGTCTTTCTTTCTGCTACTCTTTATTGTGAGTTATGTGTGTTTTTAATGTTTCATATGTTTGCCTTATGTCTGGGACAGATGGTGAAACCTTTTCTTGAGCCTAAAACATATAGAAAAGTGAGGTTCGTCTACCCTGAGAACCCAAAGAGTCGCAAGATAATGGAAGAAGTGTTTGACATGGACAAATTGGAATCCCGTTTTGGTGGGAAAAATCCGGCTGGATTCAACTATGAAGCTTATGCACTGAGGCTGAGAGAAGATGACAAGAAGATATCTGATTTTGCTGACTCTGGTTGTTCATCACCAACTGTACTGCAGTCGGTGATGGCTGAGACACTGCAGCCAGAATCACCAGCTTCTGAAAATGGTTGCCAGGATGAATCATCTTGTGATGAAGCAGATAGCTCAAAAGCGGAGAAAGAAGATGAAACTATACTAGGCCAATCACCTTGCTCTCAAGATGACGGACAGGATGCTAAGGTCGGTGGAGTGAAAATTGCTCAGGCAGGCTAAGCTAATTGGTGGAATATTAGTCAGGGCAAGCTATATCATTCACTGGGCTTTCACCTTGCTCTCCAATAAAATTTGTTTCTTTGTTTCTAACGATTCACTAGGCTTTCAGAGTAACAAATAAGAAAGGGGACATGGTAAAAACTGAACAAGGAGCACTCATGTGAGGACAAGTGAGAAGTAAGATATCACTTGATGAGCGGGAATAAGTTTCTTAAGATGGTATTTTCTTGTACCCTTGACAGAGGGATTCAAAGTACATGGCTTTGTTAAGAAAGCATCGAGTTTTTTCCTTGTAAATTAGTACAATGAGATTCTTAAATTGACATCAATTTTTCTTCTTTTCATGAGCTGAAAAAGGGAAAAGGGTGCTAATCAATTGATGCTTTTCTGAGTCTAACTGGCAAGGTATAGTTTATAAGCAAAAGGTAATCTGTGTAGCTCTGCAAGGACTGTTATATTACTTAAGACAGGTGGTTAGCTTTAACAAAAATAATAATGAAATCAAATGGTTGATTAATTACTGTCCTGTTGGCCGCTTTTTGGCTGGGGCATCTTCTGGCTTTTATTGAGTGGGCGGGCCGTCCGAATTGATTTAGAAGAAACGAGACAGGGACGTCTAAGACGGCACTTCTAGATTTATTATATGTTCAAACTTCGAAGAGTAGGGACGAATAACCAGTGAATTGCGGAGCTAATGCCTATTGTCTGTTATAACTCCATTATCGTCATTACGTTGGTGATTTTTCTTAATAAAATCACCTGATACCTGATCTAAAAGTTAGACGAGTATCAAATTTTAACCGATTAGGGTGAAACCAATTTGGTGAATCAATTATTATTAAAGGGGAAATACTAAATTGAATAAATTTTATCACGGGCGAAAATAGAAGAATTTTGTGGCACAAAAGACTTGCCAGTTGCCAGTGGGGAGAGGCGAGGGCAAGGCGATTCGCCCATTCCATCCAATAATTTATGTAAACACAGCCAAAAAAAAAGTCATGTACACAGAAGGTCGGGATCTGAGGAAAAAAGACTGATTATTCAACGCTGTGCTGTTGTTCTTCAATATACTTGAATTTTATATTTTAGATTTTCATTCTAATTATTTGAATTTTATTTTTTATTTTTATATTATTTTATTTGAAATAAATAATACACTGCATATACAAAACAAAATAAAATCTTAAAATTAGTTGGATAATATGAAAGAATCTGTTTTCCTTAAGGGAGGGTATGCATCTCTTCACTGATAGAAAAGATATCTTATAAAATCCTGTGGAAGTGCGTGATGGCCACCGTCCTAATATCCGGCGACCTAAGTCAATTAATTAATGTAATAATAATATGATACTACCTCCGTTCTTTAATATAAGACCTTATTTGATTTCTATTTTGGTTCTAAATATAAAATCCTAATCCATTCTGTCTATCATATTGATGAATTTTTTTTCAAGATAATCTTTCTAATAATAATAATTCTAATCAATATGCTTGATTAGTAAGGATACTTTAAGAAAGATAACATCTATCCATTACAAATAATTAATTTAATTTCTTTCCTTAATCTCCTCAAATTTGTCAACCAGTTCTTAGAATTAGGACCGGAGGTAGTATTACACTATTATGTATTTTCAACAGAAGGATTGGTCGTAACGTTTACTCCACTTTCATGATAAATCAGTTTTCGGTTGGATTGATTATCTCGTCTTGAAATAATATCACTTGCCATCGTAACTTGTTTGATTATATTCCAAACAAGCTTTGACAATTTAAACTCTCGGATAGGAACAGAGTTCAAATCCTTAACTTAAGGGGCAAATCACTTCATGTTTGGATTTTTTTCCCAAATACAAAAAGTAGCCAGTTTAAAGTAGCATCATCCACCGATATCAAGTTACAAGACAAACTAGCTTATCTTCAAATACTACTTTCGGTCCTAATTATAAGAGTCAGTTGACTAATTTGAGGAAATTAAGAAAGTAAGTTGAGTTAGTTATTTGTCCTAAATAGGTATTGTCTTTCCTAAAATATCTTTACTAATCAAGTGTATTAACTAGAACTATAATTTTTAGAAGGACTATCTTGAAAAAAAATTGAGTAAATATGAGAGACAAAGTGGATTGGGGTCTTATATTTATGATCAACATAAAAGTCAAACAGGGTCTTATATTAAGGACCGGAGCTAGTATTAGGTAAAATAAAATGTTGTTGCGTCCAAAAAAAGTCAACGGAAAAATTAATAAAATTCATCAAAATGTTTGAATCTGTCTCGATGACACTGAATATGTATAAATATTAAATATATATACTTCCTCCAAAAACTGGGCTCTTATGGCGGGATGCACTCCTCGAAACACCAGAAGGTCAGGATCTGAGGAAAAAAGACTGATTATTCAACGCTGTGCTGTTGTTCTTCAATATATTTGAATTTTATATTTTAGATTTTCATTCTAATTATTTGAATTTTATTTTTATATTTTATATTATTTTATTTGAAATAAATAATACACTGCATTTACAAAATAAAATAAAATCTTAAAATTAGTCGGATAATATGAAAGAATCTGTTTTCCTCAAGGGAGAGTATGCATCTCTTCACTGATAGAAAAGGTATCTTATAAAATCCCGTGGAAGTGCATGATGGCCACCGTCCTAATATCCAGCGACCTAAGTCAATTAATTAATGTAATGATAATATGATACTCTTCTGATCCTTAATATAATACCCATTTAACTAATTTGATTATATTAAGAAAGTTAGATAAGTTAGTTAATTATAAGAAAAATGACACATTTTTCCTAAAACGTCATAATCATCTTTTTTAATACTCTTTTTTTCTCTTCTACTTGATTATGGTTAAGAGAGTATTCAGATGGGTGATTTAGAGAAAATTAATAAATATTAAAAATGGGTTTTATACTTATGACTAAAATTAACTTAATAATTAAGTCCTGTATTAAGGACCGAAGGAGTATTATGTATCTTGAACAGAAGGATTGGTCGTAACGTTTACTCCTCTTTCATGATAAATCAGTTTTCGGTTGGATAGACTACCTCGTCTTGAAATAATATCACCTGCTATCGTAACTTGTTTGATTATATTCCAAACAAGCTTTGACAATTTAAACTCTCGGATAGGAACAGAGTTCAAATCCTTAACTTAAGGGGCAAATCACTTCATGTTTGGATTTTTTTCCTAAATACAAAAAGTAGCTAGTTTAAAGTAGCATCATCCACCAATATCAAATTACAAGACAAACTATCTCATCTTCAAATATTCCTCTGGTTCTTAATATAAGACTTATTTAACTAATTTAATTAGATTAAAGAAGTTAAGTAAGTTAGTTAATTATAAGAAATGTGGCACATTTTTTTAAAAATACCATAATCATATTTCTTAATACCCCATCTTCTACTTCTACTTGATTATAATTGATGAAGTATCCATATGGATAATTTAGAGAAAATTAATAAATATGAGAAACGAGTCTTATATTTAAGACCAAAACTAACTCAATAATTAGATCTATATTAAGGACCGGAGGAGCATTAAGTAAAATAAAATGTTGTTGCGTCCAAAAAATGTTAACGGAAAAATTAATAAAATTCATCAAAACACTGAATATGCATAAATATTAAATATATATACTTTCTCCAAAAACTGGGCTGTTATGGCGCGATGCACTCCTTGAAACACCAGCCTGGAAGTAACAATGCTGACGCAGGCGCATGTTCTGAGGGGGATGAATAGTACAAAATAATAAAGAATAAATTGTCAGAAACCCGAGGAAGGAATGATCATCGCCAACATAAATCTTCATTCTTGTTCTCTTTTTTCAATAATTTTTTTATGTAAAACTCCGCCGTCAAAACTGTGATCTGTATTTTGGCTCACTGATGAACAATATTCGCAGTCTTAAACAGTAAAATTACAGCGTAAAAAGAAGCTAAGCAGTAAGCACTGTTACTGGTTTAAGATTCGCAAGAACGAGAAAGTGAAGAAACCAGAAAGTGTGACAGTGTAAAAAGAAAGGATTTTGATCTGCTCGTAATGGAGGAGTCTGTTGACGAGGAAAAGGGGGAAGGAAGGAAGTGGGGTCCATTGATTACAGGAGACAATCCAACTCCGTAAAAGAAGAGTTGTTTGTGGAAAGCAACATAAAAAAAGTTAAATAGAAATGGCTGAGCTTTCTCTCTCTCTCTTTCTCTTTCTCTTCTTTTTGTGCCGCCCCACTCTCTCATTCTGTCAAACGTCCAAAACACCTCTATGCCATCATCACACATACAGCTCCTCCACAGCTCTTGTTGTCTATACTGAGGCCCATAAAAAGTAATAGAGAAGGAAGACCAGGTAAAAGGAAAGAGGATTCTCTTTACAATTTGTTTGTTTGTTTGTTTGGTTTTATCAATCCTACCTGGTGACCTATTCATCTCCAGTATTTCCTCCCTTCCTCTTTAAGTTTATTGCATGATCAACTCATCATTTTCTTTCGACTGATCAATCTGATTCCGTCTGAAATCTCTGTCGATTCAACAGTTGAGGTTAGTTTCGGCTTTTTTTCTTTTTCCCCGAGTTCTGTAACTTCTTAGTTAGACTTAGCTTTTCCGGGACTGTTCCTCATGGATCTTACATGAAACGCATTGCTCACTGGTTTACTTCTGCTTGTTTAATTTGAACAGATTTTCGTTCAATCAAAGAGACAGAGACTTCGAAAGCAAGGGGGATGGCATCAGCGATGGAAATTGGAGTCAAAATAAGAAAAATGCTGATTATTTCAATCAGAGCATGCCATAGATCGCTTTGTAATCATCCTTTCCTCGTGGGCGTCCTGGGATGTTTGATTTTTCTGTACAGATCCTTTCCTTTTGTATTTTCCATTTTGGTTTCTGCTTCCCCTGTTTTGGTCTGCACTGCTGTTCTGCTTGGGACTCTTCTTAGTTTTGGGCAACCCAACACTCCTGAAATTGAAAAGGAAGAGGAAGTTGCTCATGACATTTCATCCTTTCAAACTGGGTTTTCAGAGGGTGCCACTGTCATTGCTGAGAAAGAGGAGAGCGTTGTTGTAAAAACACATACAGAAAGTAGAGGTGTTATAGAAGAAGAGAGGAGCATTGAAGAAGCAAGCTTGGGAGAAGATAAAACTAGGAATATTGACGAAAGTGGCAATTTAATTTCTTTCGCGCCACCAGTTGATGGAATCTCTCAAAATTTCCAGAATGAGAGCCAAGCACGCGAGCAAATGGATAGAGAACTCTGCAGTTTTGAGTTGGATAATAAGAAGGAAGTTCATGAAGAGAAATCGAAGGCTGAAGGCATTTCAAGCGATGACGATGCTATTGAGAAACAATACGTTTTTGTTCAAAAAGTAAACGATGACATTCTTGATGATGAAAATGAAGAAACTGTTGCAGAGCTGCTTCAAACTTTGAAAGGAGATCAGTTGGACTTTTCATCCAATTCCTCTTGGAAAGCGGTGGATCACAATGAAGAGGAAGACTCTTTGGAATCGGGGTCTGATCGGGCAGAGAGCTCCTCACCTGATGCTTCCATGGCAGATATAATGCCAATGCTTGAGGAACTCCACCCACTGTTAGACCTGGAAGCCTCGCAGACTGCACAATTGTCCCGTGATGAATCTGCTGTTTCAGAGAAGTCTCAAAAGATTGATGATGGCAGTGTTCAATCAGATGAAGATACTGAGAATCGGGTTGAAGTGGAAGAAGAGGGCGTTGATGATCACGACGATGAAGAGGAAGAAGGTGGCAAAGAGGATGAAAGTAAATCCGCTATTAAGTGGACAGAAGACGACCAAAAGAATCTCATGGATCTGGGGACTTCAGAGCTCGAGAGGAACCAGCGATTAGAGAATCTCATTGCAAGGAGAAGGGCACGGAAAATGATGGTTGAGAAAAATCTAATAGATTTTGAAAGTTCTGATCTTCCCTTCAATGTCACTCCCATCACAACAACAAGACGCAACCCCTTCGACCTACTTGATGATTCTTATGCTGCCATGGGGTTACCACCCATTCCTGGTTCTGCTCCTTCTAATCTACAGCCTAGACGAAACCCTTTTGATATTCCTTATGATCCTAATGAAGAAAAACCTGATCTCAAGGGCGATAGCTTTGAACAGGAGTTCCTGACATTTAACCAGAAGGATACATTTTTCCGGAGGCATGAAAGTTTCAGCTTTAGGCCATCTGTATTAGGTGCAACCAAGCGCGGGAAGCAAAATTTGATTTGGAAACCTATCTTTTTGTCAGAGCAGCAGGCTTCAGAGGGAACAAGCTACCCGTCATTCCAGAGGCAGTTAAGTGAAGTAAGTGAAACGAATTTGAGTTCTGTTCAGGATACTGAATCAGTGAGTTCAAGTGATCAGGATGAGAGGAAGTTTGATGAACGAGATTTGTCTCAAGAAACAGAATTAATATCCAACATAGATCATGCTTCTGAATGTGTTGAAATTGGAAGTCAATCCTCTGGAGAAATTGATCCTGTGGAAATGATACAAGTACATGAGAGCAATTCTCACCATGGTGAAGTTGAAATAATGTTGGGTGGGGCGGAAAATCTTTCTGAGATGGCACTCTATCCTGAAGCAGGAGAGATTGCAACACATGAGGAATTAAATACGGGTGAAATTGAAGCCCATTTAGGTAGAGAAACAGTTGTTGGGGAAAGCAACGGCAGATCAAGCCAGTTTTCACTATTGGAAGGGACTGACAACATGCCTGATGAGATGAGAGTGATATCAGCAAGTTTACAGTCAGGAGATAATAATCTACTGGACTCCAGAGATTCTGTGGAGCAGGTGGACCTCCATAATGTGAGTGCTGGGGTGGAAGGCAACCAAAACAGGGTTCCTCTTTATGATTCTAGCCCACTAACTGCTGGCAAGTTTGCATCATTTTCTTCTGTATCTTCTGATTCAGCAACAGAGTTTAATGAGAGGGCTTGGCCTATGTCACCAGCAGGAATGGTTGCTGACGTGATGGATACAGATGATCATGCTCAAGAAGCCAGTACTTCCGGTCTTGAAGAAAATCACTCGGCAACTTCTCAGCTGCATATGGAAGTAAATGATGAACGGCACTCTGGGGATTCTGAAGATATAAATCAGCATGATGTCAATGCTGAGCTGGCTTCAGTTGCCCCAAGCTTTGTAGAGGATAATGAATCTTCAGTGCCTGTGCCTCAGGTCACGCAGCCTGTTTCTGTGGATTCAAGTTTGTCTTCAAATGTTGGATCATTAAATGCAGAGATGAACACAGACTTGGCTTATGAACAGGAGCAAGCTGACCTCTTACGTGCTGAATCTGAAGTTCAAAAAGACAATTCAGATGATTCACCCTCTGGCTGTCACATGGCTTTGGAGAAATCACATTCATCCCATGATAAATCTGTGGAGGAAGGCTCAGTTCACTACAGTGCAGAGCCATCCAGATTTGACGATGGAAATACATCTGAGGGGGTCCAAGATGCAGATGAAAAGCTCGAGGTGGTAGAATCTTATTCCCTATTTGATAAGTCTTCGAGCAATTTATCTACGCCAGTACTGCAGGACTTGCAACCTTCGCTGGAAGCTGAGCAAGTTTCAATAGTTCATTCCGATCTTTCTTCTGAAGAAACAAGACTTGTAGAAAAAAATTCACTGAACAAGGAAGAGATGTTTGAGGTTGAACGAGATAAATATGAGAAGCTGGATTTGATGGCTTCTCATTCCCAGCATATGTCTTCAAGTGATTCATCAATGTCCGCAGCACAGGAGATGCAGCCTTCACTAGGGGCCGAGCAAGCTTCATTTGTTCATCCAATTATGCCTTCTAAAGAAAATGAACGCGTGGAGGAAACTTCGCTAAAAAAGGACGACGCGGTTGTTGTTGAGCAGGATAAATTATTCTTGTCACATTCTTTCGAGCAGGGGAACATTGATATCCGTCAAGGTTTGGATAGGGTGGTTTCTTCTAGTTCGGATTGTCAGTATGTGCAATGTGAAGTAAAATCCCCCTCTATCTTGGACGGTGACCTGCCAAATGCAGATAATTCATTAGTTGCACCATCTTTTAGTGATCATGATGAAAGTCAGGTTAGTCACATGCTAATTATGCTTACATTTGTCTGAATAACTTGTAATTATGGAACTCATTTTAGATTGGTTCTTCATTATAGTTCCATGGGAAATATTCACTTTTAAACTTAGTTGTATTCACTTTTAAACTTAGTTGTATGTGATTATTCTGTATCATTGTTCATGGGATACATAAGCTATCCGCTTCATATTGGTTGCATATCATGTAGCATCCCTCTTGTATAGCTTGTTGCTGATGACGGATGACCCATAATTTGTTAACCCTCCTCTTGCATCGAGCAGGAGGAGATGAACATTATATGCAAATTTTTATGGATTTTGCAAATAAATGACAAACAAATAAGATGTTTAGTGCTATGTAGATAAAATTTTAGTTTTCTTGTATTGCTAGAGGAAGGATCTCTATTTGTTTATTGTCAGAAAAAGGTTAAAATCATATTCATGATGATTTCTTGCTTCACATGCTTGATGTGCATAAATCCTTGATCCTTCCATTTTTAGCTTTTTTCAATTCAATGTCCCCAGCTTTTCTGGCATTTAAAATAACTGAGAAAACTAATCATGAATTCTTTGAATTTCTGCAGAAATCTTGTATTGTACAGGTTGAATCCACAGAGACCAGAGACGAAGTTCTGCCACAGATCTCTGCTATTACTTCCTATTCATCTGACACTCCTGGATTGAAATTGCCAACTGAGCAAGTGGATTCAGAAGTTGATAAGCCTGGGAAAGTTGTCAATGAGATGCAAGAAATATTGAATTCCTCGGCAGAAGGCTACAGGTCTCTGGTTACTGAAGAAAATGTCAAAGAATCAGATGAACTAAAAGAAATTGATGAAGGATTCTTGTCAGAATTGGACACTGTCGGGGATTTTGGCATCAGTGATGCTGGTGTATCACTTCATCCTAACCTATTGCCTGAGGATACTACGGTTAGGGATGCTCAGGTTAGTTTGTTTCCTAAAGATATAGCAAAGTATGATCAAGAGATACCATTTCTTGAAGCAAGATCACTTGACGATATTGATTTGGCTTTCAAGCAACTTAAAGGAGTGGATGTGGAGCAGGTCATCCAACCAAGTTCAGTTAAGGATCTGCTTACTGGTGATGGTGTGCAATCTCTTCATCCTGATCTATTGCCAGAGGTGAATACTGTTGGGGATGCTCAGGGATGTTCATTGCCCAAAGTTACAGCTGAGGCTGGTCAAGAGATCCCATTTCTTGAAGCAAGATCACTTGAAGATATTGACTTGGCTTTCAAGCAACTTAAAGAAGGAGTGGATTTTGAGAAGGTCATGTTACCAAGTTCAATTAAGGATCAGCCTTCTGGCGATGCTGCGATCTCACTTTATCCTGATCTATTGCTGGTGGAGACTGCTGATAGGGATGCTCAAGTAAGTTCACTGTCCGAAGATGCAACAGGGTTTGGGAAAGAGATCCCACTTGTTGAAGCAAGATCGCCTGAAGATATTGACTCTGCTTTCAAACGACTTACAGAAAGAGCGGATGTTAAGAAGGTCACCCTACCTAGCACGGGAGATCAGCTTTCCAGTGACAAATCTGAAGAACCTGTTGCTAATTCAGACTTTCAAGTTGCTGAAGCTAGATCTCACGATGATACCACTATCAGTTTAGAGGAAATCTCAGAAGGCACTCAAGGGGAGCTGCCGGAGGTTTTAAATATGAAGGATGCACCGGCGGACATAGAAGTGAAAGAAGTTGGCTCAGCTAAGATGATTGAGTCCAGTCATGCAGGGTCTGATGCTGACGAACAGGGCAAACTTCTGTAGTTGGAACGGAACATGCTTCGACAAGCAACTCAAACATTCATCATAGGAGATCTAGTTCCAGCTCAAGTGATTCTGACTGATACTGAAATTAAACTATGAGCAGGAAGAAATAGTTGCGGATTTCTTATTTTACAGCCTTTTTTTGTCCACTGCAGTGATGAGAGCTTGGATTCCTGGCCTCGTTATCATCCTCCCTAAGGGTAGTCATATTTTTCTATTTTTTGAAGGATTGGTTTCTTCAAGAATGAGTTTTGGTTTGATTTCTTGAAGTGTGGGGTTTCTTTTTATTCGGTTTTCCCCGTTGAGTGTGAGTTGTCTTACTGAGGCATATAGACTGAGACCTTATTTCCAACAGTTGCAATATATGTAAAAAAAAAAAAGAATGCTGTAAATCATACGTTGGTTTGTAGAAACGGTGTTTGGATTTTGGCTTTCCTTCATATAACAGATAGTTATTTTCTGGTCTCTGTTCTTTTTTCCATCAATTAATGGCAATACTCTCCTGCGCTCAAAGATGAGCATTCTGGTATAACCTTTCCATAAATCGATACGGCGGAGGATGAAGAACGATGGTAACTGTGAGTAAAGTGTGCTTTCAATTAAATGATTCAAGGATTTTGGGTAGATATAAAACTAGTTTGAAAAGTACTTTTATTATATATACGAAACAAATATACGAAGGAGTTTGTCTTACATAAACATAAAGGTGCTTGTCCAAACACTCTTATGATTCTACAGAAAGGACCCGGAGATTGGAACTTCTCCCTGTCTCGCCGCTGTGACCATTGACTGTTGTTAATCTGAAATTATTCGTTATTCTTACTACCTCCCTGTTATTAGGAAGGTATATTTGTCTTTTTTATTATCGAAATAATGTAATAAAAATCTAAAAATATTCTCCATTATGTATGTTAAGCCGATTGCCAGTGACTAACTTAAAATGGAGGACCATTATACAGATGTGGGTGTGTGAAATTTTACAATGTCAGGGTTAAATATATATATATTTGATTAATATTAAGACATTTTTAGCTATACATGTGCCAGATAACAAGAAATATATAAAAACACACACACATATATATATATGTTAAGATCACCATATAAGTTGTTTTAACATCAATAGTTTCAGCTCAAAAAAAAAAAAAAACATCAATAGTTACATTTACACTAAATGACCAATCATGATTCAGTTGAATGTAGCGAAATCAATCAACTTCATTTAAATAAGGTTAACGTCTGAACCTTGTACATGAATGGAAAAAATTGAAAGTTATTATTATTCTCAATTGAGCTTGAGTGAGGCCCTAGACCGTTATTCATAAAATTTATAATGAGTTTTAATTATAAAAAAATTCACAACGACATTTTTCCAACGATTTTTTTTCAAGAAAACAAGCCTTGTCAAATAAAAACGCATTTAGGTTGGGGAAGAAAAAAATTGCACCCAGAGTAGTGACAGCTCCCTATAATTATCGACAACTAAAAAATAAAAAATTAATATCTCCCCGATCCTTTAATTTTGAATATAAATGTAAGGTCCCAATTTATTTTGTATCTCATATTTATCTATTTTTTTTAAATAATCTTTATAATGACTATATATGTTAAAAATTATATCAAATAGTAATTTTGACTAATATATATAATTAGTAAGAGTATTATAAAAAAATAGTTAAAATACTTATTTATTATAAATAACTATATTAACCAATTTTTTTAATCTTTTAATACATCCTCATGTTAAGGGAAAAGGTACGTTCAAATTTCAGTCCTTCATTTGTTTTGCTCTCATTTTTTAAAAGAAATAGCATTTAATAAAGCAATGAGAACCCTTGATTAAAAAATGCATTAAAAAAATAAAGGAAAGAAAACCCTATGACCCATGACCATGTCGTCTGAAAGAGAAGGGGAAAAAAATCTTCCCCAACCAGGGATAAATAAAAAAAAAAAAAATTATTAGCCAAAAAGCCTCCGGGATCGCGAAGCAGGAGAGGGGAGACAGCAAAATATTCCGACTTGGGTTTGGCGTCGAAGCTGAGGCCATAGAGGAAGAAGAATAAGAAGAAAACGCTAAGACATAGCGTAGACCAGCACAGAAGATCGTCCGAAGCAAAAGATTTGTTTTTGACCTTGATTCCTTGTTCTGCTGCCACCCTAGTAAGTATCCTGGATCTACTTCTATCCCATTCTCATTTCACTGGTGCGGCTTGGTGATCATGCGCGTTAGGTTTTCTCCTATGAAGTGAATGGAATTAGATTTGGGTTAGCCTCTAATGAAATTTGTGCTAGCCTTCTCTTAGGAGCATTTTTCACTGAAAAAGACTACGCTATCTGTAAGCTAATTTCTTGTCGGAATCCTGAATTGTGTCATGTCATAAAGAAGGCAGGGGAGCATATGCACACACGCACACTTTTTTCTCTGTTCAAGGAGTTGGCGGTAGGAACATGATGCATTTGGCTGGAACGTTCAAATAGCACGAGCATGAGAGGGAAGTTAGAGTAACCTCCTTCTGTCATCTTTCGTTGATTTCTAGTTTGTGATTCTTTTGACTTTTGGGAATGTTTATTTGCGTCTCCCTTTACCTCTGCGTCCTCAAATTCCTTGCTTTTCTCATTCCTGCTGTATATAGTATTGGTATATAGCTCTTTTCTCAATAAAATTATCATTCGCATAATAGAGGGAATGCTAATTATTAAATAAGGGAGAAAGAAAGAATGATTGAATGCCTTGTGCAATGCTAAGTCTATCACCATCCTTTTGTTTTTGGGAACATCCAATGAAATCCTTGGCCATTTCTTCTCACTAATCGTTTGCAGTGAATTTATCTAGCTTACTTGAAATCGGGTTGTTATGATGGTGACATTTTGGGTACATATGATTTGGTATTGTTTCCATTGAATATAAATGTATGTTATGCTCTGCTGGCCATCACACCCTAGTGGCAGCTCCATAGGTGACCTTTGCCAGGCTTCTCAATGGTGCCTAATTGGCGTCCTATTTTGGTAGCAAAATAGGGGAAGCTAGTTATCTCTTCTTTGTGATGGCTCTCTTGGTTTGTTCATGCCTTTTAACTTAATTCTGAGCCTCTTGGTTCTTTTTGATTGATGCTCATTATCACCTATAATTTGTAGGAATAACCTCAGGATATGCAAGCTTGTCAAAAAGCAGCATGAGCAACGATATGTTTGATGTACAGATATTAACGGAGAAGTTGTTGAAACTCAACAATTCGCAACAAAGCATTGAATGTATCCAAAATTTCGTCTTCATCCTTCTTCTTGGTTCCTCGTCTTCATAGTCTATGTGCCACTTCCTATACATGAATTATGGCTGTGAAACCTTTCATGGCACGTGCTCTTGGTTCATTACATGGTATTGATTTACACGAAAGCCAAGAAAGTCAAGCCACACCGTGGTTTATTGGGATATAGGAAATATCTTCTAAAGGAAATGGCACCTATACTTTTCGTGCTGTAATGTAATTTCTATTCTCTTGATCTTGCAAATGGGTTTTCATGATTCCCGTTTTGCAAATCCCTTTTTAGTTTTTATAGTTAAGTTAATGAAAATGGACTGGTATGTAAAATTCCTGTCCCCTCCTCAAAATATCGTGTCTTTTGGTGCAATAATAAATTATCTCTTCGTTGTTATTCTTATTTTCATGCTTGTTCAGGTTGTCCTTAGACTCCAATATTTATAAATGATCTTGGTCAAACCATATAACCCAGTCCTTGTATTTCAAGTCTTCCTTCATCATGATATAAACTTTGCTTGAATTATTAATGTTATATCTATTGTCACGATCCAGATGGTTGGAAAAATTTTTTTCCATGTTTGAGATATTTTTATATGTTAATTTTTTTATTTTTTTTTTACCTGCATGCTTCCACCCTTTTGTATCAGGTCAATAAGAGAAGGTGCATCCCATGATGTTGTTGTTCTGATGCTTTTGGGGAAATTGCTGTGGGCATATTTTACTTTAATGACTTTTATTCAGCCACTCTAGTCTTCTTGATAATGTATTCTGAGCAAATGGTGAAAATTTTGCATGCTCTAAGGAAGCACTGTAGCTGAATAATTTTTGAGAGGAAATATTACTGCAACTTTAACATTGACTTCTTAGCTGTGATTTCATTTTGGTGGTTGATCTTGTTTTGTTCACATATTTTCCCGTTAACTATCCTATCAGCTTTGTCCCGTTGGTGCATCTCTCACCGGAAGAAAGCAAAAGACATCGTTGAAACATGGGATAAGTTATTTAACTCTTCCCAGAAAGAGCAACGGGTCTCTTTTCTATACTTAGCTAACGACATCTTGCAAAATAGTAGGCGGAAGGGTAGTGAGTTTGTCAATGAATTCTGGAAAGTTCTTCCAGCTGCTCTCAGGCATGTTTATGAAAATGGCGATGAATATGGAAAGAAAGCAGTGACCAGACTTGTAAGTTGTATTCTGTCTTCTCGGAAACTGTGATTGTAGTATTGCTTGTCTACTGAGACACATGCACTGCAAGACACCCCTGCAAGTGGCAGCCATCAATTAGTTGTATTCTTGTGTGGGGCCACCAGATCGGTTGCATTATTTTGGCTCATGGTTGTGGCACTTGCTTACTGTATCACAATCATCTTTTTATGGTCCTACAATAGAAAACTATTGCATTCGAGAGTTCAGTTTTATGTCTATTATCATTTTTTTTGTGAGTTTTTTTCCTCACACGGCTTCAGTATTCCTTTTCTAACCTGATCATTTCATCATCATTATTATTATTTATTTTCCGGAAGCGGGGGCTGTTGGTGGTAATGGTGTTTTCTGTTCGTTTGGTTAGGTTGACATATGGGAAGAAAGGAAGGTTTTTGGTTCAAGAGGTCAGGGTCTGAAAGATGAAATGATGGGTAAGGCTCCACTTCCATCCTCTGCATCTGCAAGCAACGGAAAGAGTAATCCTATCAAGATAGTGAAGAGGGATGCCCATTCTGTGAGAATAGTAAGCAAGAAAAAGCCCCCTTTTTTTTTTTTAAAAAAAATCTTTGAAATGCTTCTGTGATGGTTTTGTATTTGTGAGTGTCTGAAAAGGGTGCTATTTAATCATCTTCATTGTAGAAACTGGCTGTTGGGGCCATCCAGAAAAAATATTGACAGCATTTCAGCCTATTCTTGACGAACATCTTGGTGAGGAGGCTGCCTTAACTAAGTGTCATGCTGCTGTAAGGGATGTGGGAAAGGTTATAGAAGATGTTGAAAATACATTGGCTCAAGGTAAGAGAGTTGCAAGTGAAACTCCCTTATGCCTTTCTCTATATTAAAGTAATCGATGCTGGGCATAGCGTAACAAGGATGCTAAATAATATAATTTACAGGTATCCATTATTTGTTTAGAAATCTTTTTGATTGCCAGGCAACTTTGATTTGAAATATCAATTAATGCAATTGTGAAAGAACTTAAAATGTTTGGTTATGCTTGGTGGTGGTCTTCAGCGCTAAGCATTTGTATTTGTGATAAGGGGTACGCCAGGTGAGGCA